TAAGACGTATATAGTCGGTCCGGCACTGCAGGTTGGGGTGTTGGATTTTTAATGCCCTTTTGAAAACACGTCCATACTCGGAATGTGATATAATATTATTATGACGTTAAAGTGCGCTGCCACAAGACTATATAGGTGCGGTAGATACCCACTCCAAACATCTGTCCGTCCCGGTTCATCGAATTATATGAATATTATAATATATACAGAGTGTAACAGAAAGATCAGAAGAAAAAATATTATGCTACTTAAACGAGTATGACAAAAATTGTTAAAAGTCAGTTATATCTGTTACACTCTGTATACGTAGGTAGGTATTGCTGTTTGGTTAGTTTTTTTCCCTCACTCGTAGGTAGCCGAAAAGTTTTAACGCGGCTCATCTGAACGCACGCGTATTTTAACGAATCGGATATTATTCACGAAATGACAAATTAAATAATATAATATTCCGACGCAGGTGAAATTCAAGTTGGAATCGGGTATTTGGGTACACTGCAGCAGAGAACCAATACCTATAATATTTTCCGATGGTCAATAAACAATTAAATATCGTCGTGCGGTGTGAACCGACGTCTGTTTGTCTACGATATAATTATGTACATCAATAGCATAATATAGAAGTTCTCATTAGCACTTATTAACGATTTTTTTTTTTTTTTTTGGGGGGGGGGTTGGGATGGGAGGTATCAGGAGTAATTTTTAAATCCCGTATGAAATTTCTAAAAATAAATAAAATATTATAAATAGACAGTTGATCACGCGACATCCAATTAAAACCACCCGCACCAAAGTTTAAATCACATACCTATTCTGAAACTATTTGTTGTAAATCACAGTTTTTAAGACATGGTTACACCAAGTACCAACATTCAATCGATATCTATTTTAGTATTTTTTTTTCCTTTATGAGTTTAATAAAATATATAGGAATATAATAAATGTATCTGAGAAGATATAACCCCCCCTCCGAAGCCCTCCAATCAGAAATAAGCTATTGGGATTTCTGGAAGTTAACAAAATCATATTTTATAATATGTTATGCATTTTACGGTTTTTGTTTTTAATCTATGTACTGATGTAGGCATAGTAAGTACCAGAGCCATCTGGTCATTGGTGTGGTAAAATAACGTCAATTTCAATAAAACAGAGTTGATTTTCGATTCAAAACCGATTGAAAAATAAACATATTATCTGATCATCAAAGTATATACAGTACACGTAGCGATGTTTCGAATGCGTCGTCGTAAAAACATATAAGTCAAACGTGAAATTAGATTTAGATTTCATTTCGACTGCTTAACCTATTTTTCGGTTCGTCTGACCATAATTTTATTTAAATTTAATTTCTCATTTTTAGATCATTATCGTCGTCTATGCGCTGCGTGATATCGTTTACTGCAGTTACCATATTATATGCAAACCATATTATATTTTATTATCTTTTTCACGCGATCGTTTAGAGGGTTAAAAATTGTGTTACGGTAAAAACTATTCCGAAAAAAAGAGGAAAAACTATCGAGACACCTCGCCGGGCATTAATGGAGTACAAATCTGTGACGTACTTAACACATTATTATTATCATTACGTGTGGAACCTCTCTGCACCCTTTTTGAAATCCGTCCACGCCACTCGCTGTGCACAACGATATCATATAATATTTATTTTATCTTCGGTACATTTAGGTATAGGTATCAGACATTCCGTCTGAAGCGTGGGGCAACAATTCGAAAACGAGAACAGACGTATAAGTAAATATTATAATGAATAAATTATCAAGGGAATAACAGTTTTCGTAGATTCCGCAAGCACGCATATTATAGAGGTACCGTTCCGAAAAGATCGATAAAAATTATGTGCCACGTGTGCAGCCGTTCGTTTCTTGACTTTACCCGTAACACGAGACGTTTGATACAATACATAATTTGTATATTTGTTTTCGATTTTGGCGGGGACCTTGGAGGGGGTGATGCTAATTTTTATCGTTTAGTTTTAAAATAAAATAAAATGTCTTACTCGATATTTTGGATTTTAGAAAGCGATACGCTTTTAATCTCATATATTGTATCCCCGTCGCTGCCTATGTATACACTTTGCAATTATTCGCAGAAAACATGCGAACATTTCGAACCCCGCGTGTTTTCGGACGGAGATATTATTTCTCTCAGGAAAAACGGTTGTGCTCGCGTATTATAAATAAATAAACGAAAACCTTGAAAACGTTAGCAAACGATTTAATTTCGTTTTTTTTTTTATTTACAACGATTTTTTAACGTCTCGCAAAGTATAGTAGGTAATTTAATTCGAGGTGTATACAGCACAGCAGCAGGTTCGTGCAAACGAAAATCGACCGAAAAGACCGTCGGCAAAAAAACAAAACTGTTCGCACGAAATAAATCATATAATAACAAAGTAATACATAATCTCACGAATGTGCGCGTATAGTCTTACCCTAAGGTACCTACTACTCCGATTCTATACATAAAGTACAATGGAAAAAACTGAAATATATTATATACAATGCGTCGGGCAGACATACACGTACGATATAATAATAATAATATGAATTTTCAATATTGGAAATCCAACCCCCTCCCCATACCCCCCCCCGACCAGCACACTATTAAAAAACGAAATCGAAACGTAATATTATGTTGTCTACCTATGTTGTTGATCTCGAAGATACGTTTGCAGAGTTCGAATCGTTGCATATGCGGAAAATAATAATATAAGTATAGGTACGCTTCGGCAGTGGCGTGGTGAACAGTAATTTCAGAGGCAATTTTTAGTTCGCCACGCCACTGCGCTTCGGTATAATACTTTGCAGACAGATCGCGGTCAACGGGTCAAAAGCTCTCATCACCCATAATACAACACCTACACCTGCTATAACGGACATGTATATATACAGGGTGCGGCAGTCAAACCCGACGATTTTACCATGAACTGGGGGGCGTGGCTAATGTGGTAGAGATTTCGGAATTTTAGATTTTAGTATAATCATGGAGTAATGGTCGAGTGAACAGCTTGCGTACAAAAGTAATGATATATTATGTAGTAGTAATTTGTGGCTAACCAACAAAGGCATATGCCAGACACAATCTTTAAAAAATGAAGTTTTTAAATATACAACATAAAATCTAACTTGTGTAATTTTCATTTGTTTGGTGAAATATTAATAAAAAAAATTTTTTCTATTTTTTTTTTTTTTCAAATCGTCGGATTTGACTGCCGCACCCTGTATAAGAAATCATATCATATAGTGCGACGGCATATATGGAGTAAATTCAATATAATATGGTTTGAAGAAGAAAATTGTATGCCGGTCGCGTTTCTTTTTCGTACAAAAGCTCGCCGCCGCCGTGGTAGTGCGCTGCAATCGACAATATTATCATCATTGTCGAAAACAATCTTTTTCCGTCTCGCAGCTTTTGTTTTCTATATATGATATTATTATTATACTCCTGAGCGAGGTCGAGACTAACGAGACCGCCGCCTCGCCGCAGTAGATCGCTCGTAACGACTGCAAATCATTTATTTAGAAGTATATTATTATTATCACACCCATGTTATATGTATACATCGCGGCATATGGGCGCCTCATCCCGACCGTTTTCCCCATAGGCAATCGTAAAAAATTGTACACACAGTATATTATGTACACCGTGGACCACTGGTGGATTTCGAGGGGGGGGGGGTGCACCTCGCCTTACGCGATATTCCTCGGGCCATTACGAAACATAAAAAATCGTTGTTTTTCCGAAACCGTCGTCGCCCGCGTTAAAAGCGTACATAAATCCGACGTTTTTACGCCGCGGCGAGTGAGAAAAACTTTTTAAAAAAAATCCATTTCGGCGGCGGCCGTCCTGTCCGCCCCCGAAACGCATTAGGAAGAGAGATAAAAAAAAAAGCAACGAAAAAACGCGTTTCCTTAATACTTGTGTAGTTGTGTATATATACTATTATATCGCCTATATAGTTGCAGTGTATATAATATATATACTATATATACCGCTCACGATTTCACGGCTCCCGGAAAAAATCTTTAAATGATTTAAACGGATGTACGTTTTTTTTATACGTTTGATAATTACCTGCGGCGATAACATAACGTTTCACATCGTCTATGACATATAGCTTAAACAACTTGAGATGTACCGATTGGTATATATAATTTGATACAGTTACTATACAAACATTTTTAACTTAACAACATATATACTATTGATAAACATACATATAACGACATTACGATGACGCGCGAATCACCATAATATTCATAATGCTGTATAAACAAACCAATCGAGGTATACAATTTTACATATAGATGCATTTATTATATTTGAAGACTTATGAAATAGTGTTACGATTTTATTGTTTTTCGAAATAATATTAAAGATGTTCATGGACACAAAATAACGGTTAGGTGTTTACTACCTTCCCCCTCACCCTCATGACTCCTAATGAAACATTGTTGCGTCGGCCACACCCTACGGCGGGGGCATATGCGTCTGGCAGCAGTAAAGTCTTCCGCCACCCCTTCAGATGTAGATATAATATGTAAATATAGATAAGATATGAATATTAAGTTGTGTCATTAACACGCGGACATTCGATTTCTCGGTCAATATATTTTAATATGTTTTTCGAAAAAAATGTATTCTCCCGCGATTTTGCAGGTCTTTGCAGAGGAGGTGCAACGCTGCAGTCGAGTTAAATTTAGTTTCCATTTACGAAATTATTTAATACTTACGTAGGTGTATGTATTGGATGTGTTATAAGATAGTCCTCTAAACGTTATAGGAACTAAATACAAAAAATACGGACCGAGGAATCGTTTTGTCCGGCGTTACAACCCCCCTCCCCTCCTCCCAAACCATCGGAGAGGGTCCGAAACGTTGGCAGTAGGGCGTGTGCGTGTGCGTGACGTCCTCTGCGCAGTGTGCGTATTGTGAGGTGCGCTTGCGAACGAATAAATACGTCGTTGGTTCAGATAAACGGCATGTGTCTGTCGCCGACTCTGGTCGCCAAAGCGTCGTCGTCATCGAGCCATTTCTCGTTCGGACCGGCGGCGCACGGCGGAAGCGGTGGGCTAGGCGGCGGCGGAGGAGGAATCGGCGGCAGCGGAGGCATCGGCGGCGTTGGCATCGGCGGCGGAGCAGGAGGAGTCGTAGGCGGCGTCGGAGGCTTTTACGGCGGCGGCGGCGTTAGATGCGGCGTCGGCCGGACCACGGAGCCGGTCAGGCGGTCCCGGTCGCAAGGCGGCCAACGCAACAAACTGCAGAAGTGCCTGAGCACGGTGTCCTACTCGGACGACGGTCTGGCCGTGGCCAACACCCGGACCACTCTGTACACGGCTGTCGACCGGCACAACCTACTCGCCACCAGACAGTATTGCAGTTTTGGTAGTACAAATCGCCTCTAATAATAATAATAATAATAATAATTGATAATGATATGATATAATTATATTGAAAGTATAGGCAACCTAAAAATATTATAAGTCAATTTGGCATAATATAAGTCGTGCAAGATACTCAGTCTCACCCCCTCCCCTCTCTCAATAGCTCACACCATCACCCTCTCATACCTTGTCCCTTCGCTATGTGTCTATTTGTATATGACTATCTGCGTGTATCTTAATATGTAACACGGTTGCGTTTGCCTGTCCGTCTGCAGAACAGTGGAACAGTAGATGATATTATTATATCTACATAGTCAACAGATATCATATTCGTTTATTATTTCCTCTCAGTGCTATAAATTTAACGCACTAAAAAATCTTTTCGATAATTGCATGCTGCGATGTTGTGCATTTAAAATTGACATTTAATATGTTCTGAAACTCCAAAATGTGCAGAAACCTATGAATTTATAATATGGTAAATGAAAAGAAAAAGTATTTGAAAAGTTATTTGTCAAAGTAGTGACAAGTCCGTTGTTATTAAAATATAAAAGTCAAATATCGAATCGATGCAATCAACGTTATGCTTGGATGAAATGATATTCGAAGAAAATATTCAATAATCTAAAAAAAATAAAACCTGACCAGTAGGCAGGGTACAGACGAGGCACCTCTGTCGGGAAATACATTTTCACCGAACATAACTTATTCTATGAAGTAAAAAGAAATTTTTAAAAAGTCGAACGCGTTTCTCATCCCTATTAATTACATATTATACTATATAGTATAATATATACAATACTTATATAAAACCCTCTCGACGACTTCGATTTGAGCGTTTCAATTCAGTTTTTTCTAATATACATTGTTATTACGTTATTTTGTTTTTACCTCGCTGCATCTGTATGTATTGTTTCGACTTATTGTATTAAATTCTGTTAATTTGAGCTGTACCGTTCGATATCATTCCTAGAGGGAAAGCACACGGGTTTTGTTATGTTCTTTATTTTCGATTCCGTCCACTTTTCTATATTCTTGTTATTATACATTTACTATGCATTGTAATTTTACCATTGATATATTATAATCATCAACAATACATATACATCCAAACTATCTCGTAATTGAGGATAATAACATCATCGCAGCAACCCAATAGTACCTATATAGTTAATTAGGTTAATAGTAAATATCCGTGTTATAATAATATCACATCACTGTTTCGTTTGTCCGTCCGTCCGTCTCTATAGAACACGCATTCCAATATTCGTTATCGATAATGTTTATTGTACACTATAGGTTTAGGTTTACCGTGTACGTAATGTATAATATAGATTAAATATGTATAATATACATTATATATTATATATTACGTTATTATAGTATATTATGTTTGACACATTGACACTATATTATATTCACTATAATATATTATTCGGTTTTCCGGAGACCGTTGATTTGAGTGTTACATTTCTTTCCCGCTATACATAATATGTACTAATTATTTTTTTATATCTATATTATTACATTGTTTTAACCCCGCTGTGTATTGTTCCGACTTTTATTACATTATTAATAACTATTATACTTTTCTATTATAATTATTATTGTTTTTTCCCTGTTCGACATCATATTATTATTATTATCATCCCCATACACGTTGTTTGATTCTTGTGTGTTGTTGTGTTTTTTTCGTTTTGTTTCTATCCACCTTTCTATAATATTATATTATTAGTCGTTATGTTACCTATATATTTATATACATGTTGTCATTTTTTTTTATCTTAGACGTTTATTACATCCGAATTCACACCATAAAATCATCAGCATAAACATTATTATACTATCTCTTGATATACCTATATATAATATTATATATATTTTATACCGTGCATAAAATATTATTATTATACACAATAATACACCAAACCCGTCCTCCCATCTCGCCACTGTACGTCATACAATATACATGTTTGCGTTTAAGTACCCCGTATTATATATTATGTATGTATATAAATTAAATATACATATTATATATACATGTATATTGTATATATACTATATATATATACGTATATCATCCTCACCCGGGACGTCGTCGTTTTTCACTCTCGTTCGCTCGCAAATTATTACGCCCATCCATTATTACAGTTTAAAACGATGACGTCGAAACGATATCATTATAATATAAATATATATATATTATATTATACACACACGACGCGCGCCAAGTACAGTCTCCGGTTCTAATGCTACCTATAAAATAAAAAAATAAAATAATATTATGTATATAACGCATATTATTATAATAATATAGTCTTTCGAATGCCATCCACGCGTATTCCACGCGATAACGACTTATATAATATTATACACGACGCGTTATTGCCATTGTATATTATTGTACCTACCTATATACATTATTATTGTAATATGTGTTTGGGTGTTTCATGCCCGCGATTTCGTTTATTTCGTACGTCCTCGGCGTTTTTCACCACAGCGGGGTTTTCTCCGTTTGAATTATCCCAAGACTCGATGACCTATAAAACGATGCAAATACTTAACGATGATAAGAAGAAAATAAGTGCGAAAATCCGATTAGGTTCTTATATCGATAGAACGGCGGCGCCTCCGCTTATATCTACGTGACGCGGCGCGTTTACACCGTCGTCGTGTCCGCGGAAATTGATTTCGGAACGATGAAAAACGCCGATTGCTATGGCAGTGATAACGTTATTTTTAATACCTCTGATAATATTATTATCACAGGGGCGCCGTGATACATATACATAAGATGCGTCTATTTTTTATTTTTATCTCAGACTACAAGCCACGAGCGTTTTAGGACTTAGCATTAAAATTATGCAGATCGTTTGTGCGATATAATAACCGCGTTAAAATTATCTTAACGACCGGACATAATACCGACGACGCGGTTTTCTTTAATTGTAATTATAATAATAATATGTATTTTCGTCTAAAATTTCATTTCAAAGTCGGTTATCGTAATTTCGAACGCTATAGTCTTGTAATGTCTTAGGTATAATATATATAAAATTAAATCTGTGTGTGTATAATATAAAAATATATATATACGCGGGCGGTACAGCTTTCTCTCTAGTCGATATTATAGTGGTAAGACGATTAAACTCCTATATATATATCCCTTCCCTGTGTGTGTATACGCACTTGGGCCCTGTTAAAATTGTATTTAGGTGTGTGACGATATACTATATAATATATATATATATATATATAGGTACGAAAGGCCCGGACGCCCGGTTCACCAGATTTCAGCCGAACGTTTTGAACACACTATTTTCAAAGATCAGAACTCGCCTTTGACATTTTTATTTAACCGTGCGCTGCAGATGTTTCAGAGGGGACTTTAATCGCTGTACTATAATATTATATACTTGCAGATATATATAGGCGTACAAGCGACGTTCTATATATTTATAAATTTTTATCCACTGCTATCATGGCGAACAGCTGTTGTACTCAACTTCACATCCCCTCCTCACACTCTCAGTCACCACTGCAAAAAAAAACTTTTCACACACAACCTTTCTATATATCGAGTGAGGCGTTATATGCGGGACGAAAAAATGAAAAATTAAGAACACGTCCGAGAGCGGGCAAGTTTCCGTCTTATACATAAGACGTAGTTTAAAACGTTCGGTCAGATGATCTTTGCTGCACTACTATAATAATATATATGTTCATAAAATATGGGTCATTAAAATAACGACAGTTGATTTCGACATTTCACGGCGGCGTTCTGATACTGCAGGTGTACTCTGCAGTGGCGTGGTGAACGGCCTCTGAGATTTTTCTTAAATATAGGGGTGTTAGATAGCCAGTGGCAATGCCGTGCGAACTCTCATTAAAGTGCCCCAGGACAATAATATTTGGCGCCCCTAATACATATTTAAACATTTGCCACCCTTTAAAATGTTACAAGTTCGGCCGCCCTTAGGCACTTGCCCCATATGCTACCCCTTAGCACGGATCTGGCCGATGGGTCCCCTAGTAAATTTATAATATGATATATACTCAATAGATAGTCAATAATGATTTGAAATATAATTAGTTATATGATACTCGTATTAAGGTGCTCGGTGCCGATGCCATTTTGTTTTCAAAAATACACTCTGAGGGAATAACGATACCGCCTTGTAGAATCGACCAAATTTCATAATTTTTTTTTTAATTGCTAGAGGGAATATTCTACAGGCCGCATCGATCTCTGTTTTTCAATATTTTATTCTCAAACTTAAGAATATGTCTAAAAAAAACAAGATAAAAAGTTTTTTTTACAAATTTTTTAATACAATTATTTGAAATAAAATACAAAATCAGAGATCGATGCCGGCTGTACGAAGTCTTCTTCTTTCAGATAAAAAAATAGTCATAAAAATCCGACAATTCTACAAAGCTTGAGAGTTATTCCCATAAAGTAATTTTTTTGGATATAAAACACCCTATCAACCCCCCCCCCTTAATAGGTATCGGGTAGTTGATAAGTGGAAAAGTCTTATAATTGAGGTGGCAACTAAAATATAAAATGTAATTTTCAAATTGTATAGAATTGTAGAAAATTTGAAAAACTGGCACTCGGAACCCTTAATACATTATTACTTGGGATATTTGTAACTTGCCCCTGGAAAATTTTTGGTTCTCCACGCCACTGGTACTCTTACATATACGTTTAGGTACCTACCATAAATTATTGAGGTCGTGTTATAACCGCACACTGCTTGCTTATTCCGTCCAGTTCGTTTATTTTCCTATATAATATACCGATCTGCGGTTTTTTCTCCCGGCCGTCGTCTTTATACGTACAACTAAAATTTCCTCCGGACAGGCGCGAGTTCGTCGGCATAACAAATAACAATAGAGTTGCACTTGAAACTATTTCCAGATTCAATCAGCTAATACCTATATATACGGTATTATAATATTATTATATTACTCGCGTACCCTGCACCTGCAACGGTGTTATGTCGTTTTTGCTTTGCGCCTAGTCGTTACCATATTTAAAATTGTAGACGTTTTGCAAAAAAAAAAAAGTTAAAAAACTATACCTTTGCAAGAGCTCGTAACGGTAATACTCTCCGTTTTATACCCTCTGCAGCAGTGTTTATTACGAGTATATTATTATACATAATGCTACGCCTAATATCGTTATGACACGGCTACGCGCGTAATTCGAATCGTATTGATTTTTTTTCTCTCTTCCACATACGATATAATATCGTTCGGATACGGTTATTGCGTTAGGTACTCCGCCGCCGTTATACTTATATTACAATATAATGTATTTATAGAGAAATACGCTTCGGGATAATGATAAAGTACGAACACACGCTGCTGTACGGTCTCCGATTATATAACAATAATATAATATTTTTTATACCAGCGACGATGACTATAATAATAATAATAATAATAATATGCCAATATGCGCCGATGCAGACGCGTTTTTCGATATACATCGCCCCCGAACGAATAATTATTTTTTATGCACAGCAGTAATATTATATGATTATTTAATAACCGCCGCCGTGCAAAAAAGATGCGTAGGGTATGCGAACGGATCATAATATTTATTATCTTTCATATTAAATTATTTTCACTCTGGTGTGTGACGGTATATAGCCGCTGTGATAATATATTATTTACACTATATCAGCTAACGATGGCCGTTCGAAACCACTGCATTTAATGACCCATTTGTGTGTGCATATAGGCGTCCAACAACAACAACTGTTGTCCCATTCAAATGACTTTGTACATATATATATATATATATATACGGTGTATACATGTTTAATGTGTTGGCTTTATGTTAATATCTTTGGGGGCTCGGGACGATTTGACGGTGGCGAATGCATATAACATCGGCGCACGGTTGCACATTGACAGTATTTTATTTTTTACACATTATATACAGAGTGATTCATCAAGCACGATCCCATTTCATAATTTAATAAATAATACATTTTGAAATTCTGATTTTTTTTAATTGTTGAATATGCTTAAAGAAATTTTTTTATGATAATTAAGTAGTTCCGTGTGACGATACAAACCCTATATGATATATAAATATATATACATGCATTATTATTTATTATATTTTATTGTTTTATTGCTTTTCGTGGTCCAATTTGGATTTGAAACTGGAAAGAAATATATCTCCATAGAATAGCGAAATGAAAATAATTTTTAGCGGACCAAATGGACGCCGTTTTTTTAACTCAGACCTTACCAAATCGTAAGGTTGTGGTTTCGATAATTATCTTTACACTATTACACCAACCTATACTTACTTTTTAATGTTCGTATACAGTCATTCTGCAAATGAAGCAGTATATAATATTATAATGGTATACGTTGTACGCATTTTAACACATAAACAATATTATTGCAAAAAATCAAATCGATAACGATTCTGTTCTGAGAACATACAAATACGTTTTTACGAACCAACAAGTCGTTGGTATTGTCTATTGACTCTTTTACTCGTACAATTCTTACACATTTTATCAAAGTTATTTTTTATCGTCCATGGAAGTCCCGAGCCCCACACGGGTAGGTATCATTAACCCGGTGGTGCACTCTCGTCATCGAGTGTATTATATTATATTACATAATATACCTGCACAGGGTTATTGGGTATATCATTATTAATTTATAGCATGATTTTATCGATACCATATAAAATTATATAGTTTATAGAAGTCATGAAACGCAACCGTCATAATACCTCTATAGTCTATATATTGTAAAGACCGTTTATTATTTTTGTTTCTCTTTTTTTTTCCCCCATTATTATTAAAAATCAATCACTTTAAAACATGATAACATATTGCTCTACATGTTAATACAATATCATTATTTACCACAAAAGTCGTCCATATTATTTTTATTATACATTATTATTCCGTAGTGTCATTTGACTCATGCCTATAACATATTATATTATTAAACATAATAATATGATATAACATTGTACATGTCGTAGAGTTTTATTTTACCCCCATCCGCATGGCCAAATAAAATATATGTGATCATAGTATTCTACACACCCTCACCCCTGCCCACACCAACACGTGAAATTCGACTAAAAGTGAATAATTTCAAACAAACGCGAAGTAGGCCTGTAATGTCCCGCGCCCAAAATGTATGGAATGTACACCCCCTCTATATAGCTGTTATGATATAATGATGATAATAATAATATATTATAATAAGCGTGTCGTACCGTCATCGTATTTAAAAAAAAAAAATAAGAAATAAAAAATATCATCATAATATATATATACGAGCGGCGATGTGTGACTACCAAAACTAGTGTGTGACGTATATTCTTTGTTATGTGACTATATATAATATGTATGTACATACATATATTATATTGAACCATCTATCGCCTCTTCCACATTGTGTTATATTATTATATTACAACTGTCTGCTTTGACTTGTGTCTGGCCACACCCGTGTGACCCACCGCTCTCTATCACTATATAAATAATATATTATTACACGTACGTAATATATAACCCTTTCTCTATCCCCTTTGATCTTTCGCCCTGTCTATCCTTATCTATATATTATAATGTCTCTCTCTCTCTCTCTCTCTCTCTTAATATTAGATTAATGTGTTTTTGTCTTGTTTTTTTACGTTTCTTAATCGTATTTCTTATATACCTATTCTTCTTATGGTTTTTTGAGCCTTTATACCAAAACACAAATTTGTTGTGTCTCTATTACCTATGTGTGACTCTTGGCAGCGCTCTTCGAACCGGCCCCGACGACGCGCGCGTGCTATATATACTTACCTATAGATTATACACATTCGGCATAATATATACCTATATACGTACCTAACTCATCTATATAGACTTACCTACGTGAAATTATTGTTACATTATACTGTTATTATATATTATAACGCTGCGGCCCGCGTGTGTGCTGTGTTACGCGTTTTTTTACAACACACACATACACACTGATATTTACTGTACATTAATATTTATGTAATGTGCATATATTATATACATATTAGTAATACGTGCTATCAAACAAATACGATTACAATATATTATCGTTATTATATCAAATCGTTATTCAGTATACACGACCCGCGTGTAAGCAATATTATCATCAGTTTATAATATATATACATGTTAATAATATTATATATTAAATTGCGTAATAAAAAAATTGTAAATACATACTTAAAAACCATCGCAAACGCTGTAAATAAAAATGTAAAAACATTCGGTAACGGAAAGTTGTAAATATACCACATATCGCTTGGCATGCGCACTTTTGCACGTTTTTTTTACCTATTGCTTTACCTGTTTTATCAATGTACATATTATATTATATCAATTGTACATAGTAATAACAACATGTGTACAATATTATATACAGTATATAAGCTGTATACATATATAAAATATATATATTATTACGTTTAATACGCCGTAATATACTATATTATGCATGAGTATATGCTTTTTGTGGTGCACGTATATAAAATTAAATGTAATAATTTCTATATTGTTCTTACTAACTCTATAAACAGTCGATTTTTCTTCTAACTGACATTATTATAATATATTATTATCTATTATAATTATGGTTAACACTTTTCTAAAAAAAAAAAATACATATAAATATAATGTTAATAATACAAACCGCTTTTATAATTTAAAACCACATAATCTTATTATATATTATTACTACTGCACCGTCTGTTATTCGATTGACTTACGCATGTCGTTTTTTTCCCGTCTAGACAAGTTGGACAGCTCGTTCTCCAGATCGCGGAGTTCTAGCATGTCGAGCTTAGACAACATCACCACGGAGTCGATACAGTGTTTGACGTTCGGCGATTCGTACACGAAGAAATCCGGTACCTACCTAATGAGTTTTTCGAGTACCTTCTCATATTATAACGTCCTCTTTCACCACATCACTAGATCGCTACTGCGCGGTCTCCTGCTCGTGTCACTCCTCTTCATCCACCAGTTCCCGTTCAAAACATTCCTCCGCTATTATAATTCATATATTATTATTATATTGTTGACTCTATGTATAATTTTCCCGTTTTTCTTTACGCTCTCGTTTCAGATCCGTCTAACTTCCCGACCCTCTGGATAGGCACCAGCGTGGGATCGGTGCTCACCATAATGATCAATCTACCACCCTCCGGAGAGCCCAGGACCACGCAGCCCGTAACCGTCGCTCCTTGTGGTGAGTATTTTCCCTCTCTCTCTCTCTCTCTCTCTCTCTCTCTCTCTCTTTCTCTCTCTCTCACTCCCCTAGCCTATACGACTACGAATCTGCTTTGAAATTATCAACGCTTTTCGTCAGTTGACGAAATCGTATTTTCATATCTTTTTTTTTTTGTTTTGTTTTTGGTCTGCGCGCTATTCATTTCCGGCAACATCACCCGTATGTAGGTCATTAGATTCGCCCAGGATAATTTTCAGATTAAATTAAAACGGAAAAAAACTGCAAATATAATAATATGCGCGCCGTAATCTGATTACATCGTCCGTCGTATACGTATAATTGTCGAGCGACTTTTAATGCTCCGAGTGACGCGAATAATGTTCTAGTGTTTTTTTTTTCTTTTGCGCTGTTTTTGTGATCGTATTTACAAGCAGCACTCGAGACTTTAAATACCATTTATTGCGTACATACAAATAGGACGTAAAATGCTCGAAAATATATATAAATTTATACACAATATAATAATATATAGTATATACTAAACACAATACACTGCCGTGTATTATATATTTATATATTATGTTAATCCGTCCAGACAAACGCACAATTTAAATCTCAATTTTTATTTCGCTCGTTCTAAATGTATAATATTTCGCAATCTGTTTCAATAGGTTTTGCATATTTAAAAAATGTTTAATTGGTAATTTCTACTCCCTGTTTTTGTATTCACAGACAACTGAGACGTATCGTATACAATGGATAAAATATATTATAATTTATCATGTTTAACATCCCATCTCTTTACATCTTACTTTGTTTTTGAGTGAAAAAAAAAAACCTAAGACTACGTAACTCAAATACCTAAAATGTTACTTTCAAAATTAATTACTCTAAAAACTTTTCTTTTTCAAATTACTTTAGGTTCACTGAACCAAATGAATACTTGCATAGAATTTTAAATTCTTTGAACCTTTTAAAAACAAAAAATGCTTCATTGAGTTGATCAAAAAACTAACGTAGTAAAGTCCCCAATAATGTAGGTATTTTAATAATTAAGTGACTGTATTATTGCCTTTAATTTGTACTTATAAATAATAAATACATTCAATTGTATTTTTATAGGACATTTTTTGTTTTTCTTAATGCGTACTGAATTACAAATCGTAAATTAGGAGTATAAAATGAAAACGGTTATCGAGTACATTCGTTACACTCGCAAGACTTGCGATATTTAATTAAACGATAAACTCTAAGCTTACAGATTTTATCAAACAATATGAATATAAAACACATAATGCAAAAGTGTAATAATAACATCGAACGGCGTACGCACCTAAAACGGCGTAAATAAAAGCAACAACACGATTTAAAAATAAGAAGGCGTCGGGCGATAATTTTTCATTTTGAAAAGTTTAGCAATTTTCATACTTAAGTTCGATCGACAATGCTTGACGAGCACACAATCGGTACGAAAATCGTTTTCAATCGATGGACGACAAATCTTATAATACATTTTAATATCATATACGTTTAAAATAATATTATAATAAACCGAACTTAATATAATATATGTGTACTCGATCGAAGTAGATATATATAGTGATTTCTTGTGTAAATATTTCAGCCTGATCGAGTACTTAAGTTCGAAGATTAATCGTATCGGCAAACAGACCGTATAAAACTATTTCAAATCGTCTTTACGTCTGTCAATCTGGTATATCTGTAGGGTCTTCCGCAGACGCACACGATGAAAGACACATAAACTTAAAATCCTTACACATAGCTGCGCTATTGATACATTGAAAAAACTACACCTGGCCAAATTCTTTTATTGTCAAAAGTGTTATACAAAAGAAAAAGATAATGTATTAATATTGTGTGATAATACTAAAAAAATGTATTACAATGTATAAAATATTTTAACGTACCTACATTTTGAGAAAAACTAGTTTTCTCTGAGCCGCGTTCGCCTCATATTAAAATACGTGTTACGTTCTCGGTCTATTATTCATAGTATATTTTATATATTATACGTTATATAATGTAAATTGCAGTGAATCATTCGTAATTATTCATAATCTTTTAGTAAAATGTTTCGTTTTGGGTATGATAAACTTAAAAAGTAAACGTAATGATAGTGTTTCTATAACATTTTTTTTTCTAATCTCGAAAATCTACTTAAGTAAATGAGAGTGTAGCACTCTGATGTAAACGGATAGATATTATGTATACATGTACACATTTCGACCGCTTATGCATACGGTGTGTTCAGATACGGCGCCGTTCGTCTCGAATACCCAAACCACTGTACGAATTTACGACGGACATTTCGTTTTACGTTCCGATTTACATAAACCTATATATATATATCGATATCCAAGGTGCAATGATATACGTATACGCTCCGGTCTATTCCTATCCTAACCGTACTCATGTAGTCATCCGTGTAACCCCGCAGGTATCACCACAGTTTAGGTTATTACCGCTTCGAACCACATTTGTCCGTATATATGAATGGACGTATGAATTGTTTAAAACCTTTGCCACTTTGATTCACGCGCAGCAGTGCTCCGACACGCGATGTTGCCAAAGGATATATTGTTTTAATTATTGTGTTTTTTTTTCGCACTTATAGGTACGATATTCAGACTGAAGGGCGGAGTGCTTACCATGTCGTTCTTGGACTGCAACGGCGCATTAATACCCTACGCGTACGAAGCGTGGAGAGACGAAGGCCGAGACAAACAAAGTAAACACCATTATAATATTATATCATAGCAAATTGTAGCGCTCGCTAAAACATTAAATCATCGGCCGACCTAACCGAACGAGACCCGACCTGACCCGTCCCGACCTATATATTATTTATTTATGTACATTTTTTTTTTTGCGATTCGACATAACTGTATGCGACGATAATATTATTATATACCTATTACCTATACGTAATTACTATAATGACCTGGTCGTGTTGCAGAAACGCCGACCAAAAACTCGAGCGGGCTGAACCGCATGTCGCCGGCACTGACGGGGAGCTCGGAGAGCGTGTCCAGTAACCCCGGCGGTGGCGGAGGCGTTGGCGGTTCGGGCTCCACGCAGCTCCAGCAACAGTCGCAGGTATCGTGCGACCGGCAGTTCGTGACCATCGTCAGCGAGAAACAGGTCAGGGTGGTGGCCCTGCCGTCGCAAAACTGCGTCTCCAAACATGTGATACCCGACGCCGACTTCATGGTCAAATCCGAAGTCATATCCATGAAAGGTAATCCCGCCTGCACAGGTAGTACCAGGTATCCATCCTCGGTATAGAGTGGTATAGGTGTATATCAGAGGTCGGTGATAGGCCACGTCCGGCCTGCAGAGAGGAAATAACTGGACCGCCAAGAATAAAATTTTTTTAATGCTGGATTCCGCATGTAATAGATATTTGATCTATTATTGTATTATATGGGGGAAACTCTGTTCTCCAAAATGAGACCACCATAGAATTTAACTGCCGAACTGATCGTCAAAAAAAAAAGAGTGCGAGGGAGAGACGAACAGCTGCTGAATAGCGTAATGATCGTTGTCGATCTCTGAAACAACGTAAACGGGCAAAGCGTTATGCATTGATCACCGTAGCTCTGGGATAAAAATTATCTACATTTTTTTCCGTTCAGTCATATTTCCAAGTCGTAGGTACGTGATTTCACGTATACGTCTGAATCATATCGATCCCGTCAAGATGCGCGTATACTGCAGATTGCTGGCGATACGATTGAACAGATTTTTATTTTTTTTCCTAGCGTCAAACTATATAATATAAATATAGGTACCTATATATATTATATTGGCAACATATTATTTTTGAGCGATACCGTATATCCGGTGGGAGGGTTAACTCCCCGAAAGTGTAGAATTCAATTTCAAGTTTTCAATAATAAAGTTTACGCAATAGCGAGCGATTTTTATTCTACAAATCCTCCCCGAAAGTCCTTTTTTCTAGACACGGTTTTGTATCGCCGGTATCGATAAAAATATCTGACAGTTAATATCTTTGAAAAAAAAAATTTTAAAAAATAGAATATATATTATGACAGTAAATTGATCTCTGCCGGTTCTTCTACGACCTATGCTGCAGACGCATCATACTGCACATCGACTCTTTATCGTAGCGATTGTCGACTTCAACTCTCTTATCACGTCACTCAGACTGTAAAAACAGCTGAATCTCGACCTAATCTAATATTATGCTAGCTCGCTGCACGATTCCTGACTCGATAAATTTACAGTTTATTTACAATTTCAGATAGCGTATGCCTGGCGTGTTACATATCCAACGGCCACATAAACATCTACAGCCTGCCGAGTCTCAAGGTGCTGGTGGACGTCGACTTCCTGGCGCTCTCCGATCTGAGGTAGGTACCATGCGGACAGCAGCGACGTCATCGTCGCGCGCTCGTTTTATTTATCCTTTCCCTTTCTGTTTGAATTTTGGTGTTTTTCTTCAATAGATGCGAATTTAACGAGATGACTCGCAGAACTTATACCTATACCTATACTATATAATAAATCGTATATTATATTGAAAAGCGCGTAGGTACGCATAATATAATATAATAATATATCGTCGTCGGGCCCGGCTTAAAGGGTACGCGTGGCACACGAGGTTGACATTTTTCGTTTGGATTTATAAATATATTTTATCACGAACGTGTGTGATGGTGTCTGTCGGGCGGGGTAAAATCAAATGGCGTTTTATATCGGGCCCGATCGCGGTATACGATATGAGATTATATAATAATATACACACATTTCGCTGTGTGTGTGCCATGTACCTATATATAATATGTGTTGTGGGGCGAATGTGGTTGGCGACGCGCTGCGAATTTTCGACGTTCGTTGTACATTTTAATCGCGATAATGTTATTATATATATGTACCTATACTACACGCGGTCGTATGTCATATTTTTTTCTCGAAATTAATAAAAGACCATCCCGTTGAAAAATCGGTTTCGGAAACAGATTAAACGTAGTTTCAATTTCCTGCTTTTTACCCGGCCAAGGAGAAAAAAAATCGATGCTTAAGAAATTACTACAACCCGCGGGTAGTATATATATTTATTTATTTTTCGTTTGGCGCTGAAATGGCATTACGCCAAGTCGACCGCGTCGAAATGACCTTGTTCGTTTCACTCTCTGCGTATATCATTACTTAGTATATTTTAAGGTAAAGATATCTTATAGATAAGCGTATTATACGTGTAATTTTATATGGTATCGTCCGTGGTTATAAAACATGAGGTGTTTTTTTTTTTATTCGATTTTCTCGATACCTTCATCACCAGTGTTTTATATTTTCTCCCAAATTATTTACCATTTCAGAACGATTTCGATGTTAAATATTTCAAGTTTACCAACATATATTATACCTATTGTGGTTGACGACAAACGGCATAAATATAATATTATGTATATTGTTTGAAGGTGTCAATTCAAATACGTTTTTTTTTATCAAAAGAGGTCTCTACAATTTTTTTATTATTCCTCCTTGTTTAATACTGTATAATACTGTTAAATACTGTATACCACCGTGTATAGTATTTTCATGACAACATCAAACACAATAAATTATGTGTTTATTTGATAATTTTTAGTACTTAGTGAATACATAATTATGGTCGGTTTTTCTTTGAGACGGTCATATTGTGTGAGATTTACCGTGACCGTCTATGAATTTACTATAGAATTATTTAAAAAAATAATAATAATAAATACTTAACCATTTGGTTATTTCTCGCCTCGGACAATGTTTATTATCTCTATGGTTTGTATTGTGGCCAGTTTTCAGACCCAGAAACAGGGCATAGTTGACCCAATGTTATCCATATGGGGCCAACAGATGTTTGTCAATGAAGACACTGACCAGTAAGTCGTGAACACTAGGAACGCCAATACAACATGACACACATACACAAACATGTACACACATACACACTCACTCACACACACACACACATTCACATACATACAGACAGAACAAACATTATACAATATGTCAGTGTATATATAGAGACACGAGCTGTTAGACGGTCAATACTATAATATAATACTAACTAGTAAATGTGAATGTATCAAATGTAATTTCATAAGTACTTACACATATTTTTTTGATAACAATTTCAAAATTTATTTTCTTGTATGTCTTATTATAGAGTGGAGTATACTTTAATTTTTTTTTTTTCTAACGTGGACATGTTCACCGCGAATACTAACCAGTATATACTAACCAATTTTACCCGATCATCCATATTAATACTAGACTAAGTCAGATCGAATTGAACGAGACAAAAATATCAATACAATATTATATATTTTGTAAAACCGATTTATCTGTAGTACAAATACAAAAAAGAGCGTTCACACATAAATATTGTTAGTATCCCCTTCAACGCCTCTTTTATTTTACATCACACAACTTTAATATTTCAATTGTTCCGTTCCAGTAACCCGATGGTTTTGATTTTATCAATCAATAGTGTTATTGCATTCTCGGCGGCAAGTAGGTGCCTACATATATACGTATGTGTGTATATACTTCAATACTTACTTGTACAGTTGTATACAACACTTTTAAAATGAAATTTATTATTTTCTCTGAATTCGATTTCGAAACAGAATACTGTTACGAGCGTTATAAATTTATAATATCGTCTGGAATTTGCAGCCCGTAAATTCTACGTCAATGTTACACGTTGGTTTTTATTGTTTTTTTTTTTTATTATTATTAAACTATATTCGACGATTTCATTTCTTAATACAGTTGCTACACCTTCTAGATTATTCATACGTCAATAGGTATTATATTTACAGTACCCGTGAATTCCGTTTGTCTTGCGAGTTTAATTCGAACTTTGAACCTGAATATATATATATACGTTTCGCTGCATAGAAACCTTATTCGGCGAATAAAGTTACGATGCTTATCATTTAATGACGACTTGCGTATATATTATCCAAAAAGTTTTCATACTACGAGTAATATACCCATGCATACCCCGAACCGTATTATTACAAACATCAAAGTTTTGAAATAATATTAAAATGTTCACAGTTCACCCATGTATAAATGTATGAAAAAAGAAATAATGATTTCATGTCCGTGTCATTAATGTAATAAACCACTGCAATCTAATATAATTCGAGGGAGGTATTTTCTTGACAGCGCTTACGAGATATACAAGTTACATAAAAATGAACCGATATATATATATAACTGTATATGTATATATATTATATATATATACTTACTGTATATTGTAGTGTAATCTTTGAAGACATCTTGATATTACAACCTTTTTGTTGACCAAACCATCACAGACACTCGTACCGCGAGTGATACATGGCTACAATAACGTACAAACATTATTTAATATACATATATATATATACGGGATATCCGCCCCCCTAGTACGTCTAACGGCTCGGACCTGACATAAATGTACAGTAACACACTTGCACTTAGATCTTTTCTGGTTTTGATTTACCTTCAGATTTACCCTTGACCTACCTACACCTAGCTATACCGTCCTTTGGCATGGATACCTAACCCAATAACTCCGTCCCGTCCAACGGCTCGCGCCCAAGTGAACGTATAACCTATATATAATATATAATGAAATGCAGCTGCATTATGTGACGCTCGGCTTTTTTTGACGACCCTTCACCCCCGCCCGTGTACGGCTTTTCCCGTCGTTTTTGTGCATCTGTTCTCGTGCTGTTGATTGAATCCCAGTCCATTTGTATTATTGTACATGTACGCTATTTTTGTTTTATATTTTTTGAACCGAAATCAAATTATCGTCGGAAGCTTTATAATGCTTCCAGTGCGTTTCAAAAGTCCGGCCGACAACCTTGGACTATGGATTTTCCGAGAAATTCGGAAATCCCGGAAATTTACTATATCTGAGAACGCCGCCGCCGGTTCCGGAAATTTCTCGTACATATATATTAAATATTTGACAGTGTCCGTTACGGATTATCGCCGGACTGCTGAAACGTACGAATAAATTACGAAAACAATTTTAAAAGAACCATTATATTATTGATTAATATTATTATTATTATTATTATTATTATTATTATTTTTATTATTCTAATCGTGCAGCACGTTAACCCCATGCTTTGATATAACAATAATTTTTTATTTCAATTTTTTGTTTTGTTTTGCATGCACTTCTCAATCGTGTTTATCTATTAAAACATTATATTATTATATATTACATAATATAATATTACCTAGCACTCGACTGTAAATATTGCAACAAGCTATCCGATTTGGTTTTTACTAGGAAACTATATGGTGACCAAAGTCTAAACGAAACGAGGCTATCGTATTATTATATACTATACACCAATCACTCACCCTAACATAAGTCTATAATCTTCTTAGCTATATCTGATATCCTATGTTATATACTTTCAATTCCCGTTAACCTTCAAACTATTATCGTGCACGTCTTCGAAATCCACAAACTCGTATACAGATCGATATTATACAGTCGTTAAACGACTGGGCAACATTGAAAATATTTAACGTGTCTGACCGGACGACAATAATTTATGACAATATAACTACACATTTCTTACGAGTTTTTGGATACATTGCGAAGACCCTCTATCATTTGCACACCAAACCTATATTTTAGAAAAGCACAATAAATATATATATATGTACAAATACAACGGAACAGGATCAAGGCGCTCCTATTAGTTCTCGCCGAATAGTAAAAAGACTTAACACATATAATAATAAATTGTATATATTATATTATATTTGACGAGCTAAACGCATATAAATATCATAATTGTGTACAGTTAAACAAATCAATCGTGTGTGTACCACTACACAGTATTAGTCATTGTGTCGAGTGTAATTTTGTACAAAGGCCACAACGAAAAATTAGGGTTTTCGTTATTTTTCACCAAATATATTTATTATAGTCTATATAGCGTCTGTAGAGTTTTTTTTTTAATATTTTTTTATTTTATTTGTTATTCTAATATTAATATTATTTATTATTATTATTATTATTATTATTATTGGACACTGGCAAATGTATAGAGTGTGAATATGTCCTGAGTTATTTTTTTTTATTTAATACTTTTGTTTTGTTATTATTATTATTATTATTATTATTTTATCATCTTTTATTTATTTTTTGAACTACGTCTCTACGTCATATACGGTCGTTAACGTTTATGTTTGTGTGTATATTTCTATAGAATTGCCAAGACGTTTTGCTTCAGTAATCGGGGACATGGACTGTTTTTGAACACGCCGTCAGAGGTGCAGAGATTTTCCGTTTCCACCGAATTCTGGTGAGTCGTATTTATTGTGACGGCGTTTTTTCCCTTGACATAACACAATATTTAACGGATGTTTTAGCCAAAGTCTACCGGAAATGATGGGTGAACTGTTCCAACCGCACGAGATGCCCGAACCGCCTAAGCAAAGTTTCTTCATTGGACTCTTTGGAGGTGGCTCTAGATCCATCGACCGTGAAGAACTGTGTATGTAACATTTTCATTAATTAAATACATTAGAATATAAGGACATCCCACACCTAACCTTTAACTTTTTAACCCCATACCCACTAACATACTACCCCACAAGTCGAATTCTAACGACATATTATATTTTAAATGAATATATTACATAATATATATAACATGACCTCGTGCGTCGTGGACAATTTTTAATTCTATACTTTAAGAATTGAATGCATTTTATTGCTCCGAATGCTAATATTGAATTTAATAGGTTGAATATTTTATTTCAGTTTTCATGAATCATTTTTACTCTCCATACCTACTGCAGTGATTAATATTATCTTCCCATGCGCGCAATTGTTTTTATACTTAGTATAGGTAAGTGCATATAATTGTTATCGTGATTTGGATGGCATTATTTCATAGATCAGTCAACGTACTGTAAATGGTATACTTACTGTAAATCTCGACCAAAGACATATTATACATTATACATTTCCATCTGATATTCCGATAAAAACTCGGTAGCTTATAAGATTGTTCCGAGTGGGTGGGTCCGGCAGCCCATCTAGTATCGGGGGTTTATTCGTCCCTACGATTTTAACGTTATTTGTGGCGATTTTGATCGGACGTAGTTAAATACGTAATTTAAGTTATATACTTAACATAAAATATCAACACATATAGTTCTTTTACGAAAGATTATTGTTATATAAATGGTTTCTTCAGTAATACCGATGGCTGAATGATATTGCTCGAATCTGTAAATTACAATAATATATGTGAAATGACTCTGATTTGTATCAACTGTGCATGTCGCTTGTAAAATCCCTTATACTTTTTTCCTTCGATCCATTTATTCTTTCGAGCAATTACTTTTAGAAATTTCTCCGCAGCGGTGGTTTTATTTCCTATTTGCTCTCTTGTCTTCATCAATCACTGTTAAACCGTCAGTAACATCATGCACTGTGGTTTCTTTATTTCAGTTTTCTGGGTTAAAACGGAAGGTTCGAATTTATGGACTAAACAATATCGATCAACGTGTGTTTTTTTTTTATATTCCTTCTCGTCACGATTTTGCGCTGAGGAAACAATCTCTCTCCCTTATGTGTACTGTATACATATACAATACATGTGCCTATAGACAGACGTCCGGTCCCTCTGAGTAATTTTCCGATGGTCGGTGATTTGACATTTTCGTTGATAATCCAATAGACAATCGACCTAGACACCTATAGTAAACGTTCAAAGTAATTGAACCTGAATCGAGATTGAAAAATAAATTAAATTGATGAAATATATTTTAACAAAAAAAAAAAGATAGAGACGCAGTATTACACGTTTAGGCGCATCATTTATCAGATATAATCGTAAATTAAATTTAAAAAAAAAAATATTCTCGAAGCGTTTTTTATTATTATTACTATCTATACTCTGGGCCACGAGAGAATGCACCCTGCACGCGCATCCAAATGACGGCTCTCCGTCGTCTCGAGGCCAAATTTCTCTGCACGCTCCGACGGGTGGCGATCTGGCCGGTAAAATGGTGGGCTGCACGAAAAAAGACGAGTTTTGGTCCGCCCGCAAGGTGCATTCTCTCCTGGCCCAGAGTATATATAGAATATATGTATAACATAACATTTATGTGAATAACTTTAGCAAAACATACTTTCCATTTCAACTAAAATGGGTTAAAGCCAAACTATGACTACCTATCAAACTGTTGATACTCCAGAGACGGTTTACTTATATCATTATTTATAGCAATATATTATAATATAATATGTAATAAGGTTTATCGATTTAAAACTATTGTCCTTTGAAAAAAATTACCCCCACCATGACTTAGGTTTTATTTATTACTATTACTATTATTATTCATTGGGGTTTTTCTATGTGTGTTTTTGGACAGTCGGCGAGTCCACCAGCGGTAAAGCACCGAAACTAGTGGCCAAACTCGTACCCGGCCCGTCGGCCCAACTGGACGCGTTGGGAAACCGGGCGAGCACGGCGGCCAGCGAGATATCGAGAGCCCATCTATTGGCCGTGGAACGTGGCGAGAAGCTAAGCAACCTGGAGGACCGCACCGCCAGGATGATGAACGAAGCCGAACAGTTTTCCTCCAACGCCCGAGAGCTGATGATGAAGAACAGGGACAAACGATGGTATCAACTGTAGACCGCCGATTTCATTTTGTTTCTCTCTCTCTCTCTTCCTCAGTATATATATTCTCTCCCTGCCCTTTCTCTATCTCTCTTTTATTCTCTCTATAATATATCTATATATTTACACAAATACACAAACGCATTAAACAAAAAAAAGTCACCCACACACAAAAAAAAATCGTACTTAAAGATATTCCAAATAAATTTTCTCTGTTAACAGATTTCGCTTTAAAAATAAAATAAAAAAAAAAAAACTATTTCTCTGAATATTCTCATAATATAATCTTGTTGCCATCTAAGTAAACGTAATGTTAGACATTAATTTAATATTAAAATGGTTAAACATAGTCTAAAATATTACCTATATATATAGGTATGTACATATATAAATATATATTACATTATACAATTCATCGATTAAATATTATTTGCGATTTTAGTCGACCGCGAGAACATAATAATATTATTATGTCGAAACGCTGGCATATAATAATATACCATCCCATTTAAATAATAGTATTACGTCGAGGAACACAACAATCGTCGCACGTAACCTGTTTATTCGCTTAGTGCGTTAATTTCGACCGGAATATTATACCACTCGTTGATAATAATATGTGTATATACGAGTGCAAGTACATATTATACATTATATAAATTGTGTAATTATTATTTTAAGGATAATAATAATATATATCTACTCATTAGTCATTTGATTGCATATTTATATTGTATTACTCTTAATATAAGATTAAATCAACATAAAATAAAACGGGCTGTGGTTGTAGTAATATAAGTAAGGTGTATTTAAGTCATAAATATATTAAATTGATAGATTCTTTATATATATATTTATACAATATATATAGAGAGATAATAATTCGCGGTTCTTACCATATGTGATTTATGAGTTTATAACGATCGTGAGTAAGGAAAATCAAAACTAAACAGAAAAAAATCTCAACATAGGTACTTAGATTTCAATGCCCGTTGTACGTGTTTTTATAAGAGAAAGTCTATCCTATGATAGGTTACACGAAAATCGTACAATTACCTTCCCGTGTGTGTGTGGCAGACCGTTTGTAATTATTATGAAGCGATTTGTGCCTTAAAAGTAAGATACTATATAATATATATATGTATTTAGTCTACGGTGTAATAAACTGTTTCTAGGGGCTATTAAAATTATAATGTAGTGTAAATTGTTGTATTAATATTTTCTTTGATATATTTATAATCAAACAGGATTTATATAGGCACGTTATAGTTAAATGTAATAATCGATCTAATGCTAATAAGGGAATCATGTTGTGTTTTCTGTTTTCTCGATATTACAACTCTCTGAAATTCGAACACGATGATATTAATGAATATTAAGTAATATTATTACGATCGCATAGATCGTGAGAAAAAATAATAATCTGTCCCAGTCTGGATGAATGCTGCTTTACCTCAACGAAAGTCTCTACCCTATAAATCGTTTTCCCGTAATAATATAAAGTCTAGTCAAAATAACATAAACGCCGCGTAACTGTATCGAGAACGAGTGCATATATATAATATTATATACGACCAAGTCATACAGAATTCGTTTGGGGATCAATACGTTTTAGCTTATATAATATACATATTATATATTTATATCTATTTATTATTATAATAATTATAATTATTACACTTGTAGCTGTTATATTTTTTTCCAAAATATTTTCTCATTTCGTAATTGTTTTTCTATAGATTATAAAATACAATTATAATAATATTATAAAGTAAGTAAAATAATATTAGTTTTAATTTAAGGATATTTATTGATAACTACACTTATGTGACGATAATTTTACATTTCCCTGTACATATATTATAACGATAATTATATTTATGTGTACGGTATGTGCAACAAATATGGTTCTTGAGGGTTCTCGTCTAGGGTCTGTCTTGGTTTTTGTCATCATGATCGTGCACGACAAGAATACAAAAATATTTTCCGGCGGTGAATCGCGAGTTATTTCGTTTTTTTGTCAAATACAATATTATTGTACGTATCATAATATATTTTTTTTCAAATATGTATGGCCGGAAATTTTAAATCAACCTGTCTTAACCGTTACGTAATAACAACGTATACCTTACCTATATATCGTATTATATTTACTCCCACACGGCACATTATACACGATTAAAAAAACATTATTTTTTTTCCCCAACATAATGCAATTTCCACGCCCGTGCACAATAAAACACACGCGCACATTACACCCGAACAATTTTCCGCCATAATAGAACCGCCTGTCAATGTTTTAATTTCTTGTGCGTAAGTAATTTTTCCGACGAGTAATTTTTCACGATTCGCTCGCGCGACCCTTTCCTACTCTCCGGCTCGACGACACCACCACCGGTGCCGGCATCTACAGCAGCTATGCCGGGATAGGAAAATCGTTATTGATGGAAATTTGGCCCCGCATGACCCGAACGAGATGCAACAGACAAGCCATAAATTACCTACCGGAAAAAAAAATAATAATAATAAGAATGTGATATGAAAAAAAAATTTATATATATATATATATATACAAAATCCACTGGTTAAAAATTGTTCTGTTGACACTTATTGTTTTTGTTTTGTTTTTTTTATTTATAATTTTAAAATATAATATATTATATGCGCATGCATGTATGTATGTTTATATATAATATTTATTTACTGAAGATCGATTATTATACATAATATTATATGTATTTACATAATATATGTGTGTGTGTGTGTGTGTGTGTGTGTATGTGTATGTGTATGTATAAATTACGTTTAAGGTATTACCCAGATTTTTTTTCCCGATTTACATAGATTTTAACGTTGTACGCCAAAAGGCAGATAGGCGTACCTACAATATTTTTATCATTTTGCACCACGCCTGGAAAAATATATACCGTCGTCTTATGTTTACATAACTCGTTGTAAATCGGAGTAATGTTTCACTCGGAGAGCTCGCGTATACTTATTACATGACTTGTACTTTAAACCAGGAATCCCGTGTATTAAATACAATAAAATATAGTTATTTTGGTTTTTCGAATAGTATAACAAGTTAAACTGCAGCGCTTTCCTGATTGAAAACATATATTGTTAAAAAGACAATAAAAAAATGCGAGGGGAAAACGTATATAAAAACGTAAATTTTAGAATATTTAAAATATAAGAAAAAAATGATTTAACTATTAATATTATTATTCTCTATAATCCAGTCTTCCTAAAACTAGACATATTATTGTAGGCTAACAATTTGGGCAATATTTCCATCCCCTCCATCCTTCCCTTCCCCCCGTTTACATTGCTAACACCATCACTCGAAGCAACCGTAACCACATATGTTATTTTATACAATGTAACTACGTTGTACATGTATGCGTTTGTTTTGTATTACCTATATATATATAATATTATACATTATTATTATTATTATATTATTATTATTATTATTATTATTATTATTATTATTATATTATTATTATTATTACTATTATTAAATGTTTATCTGTGAAACAATATTAAACGTTTAGGCATGTTATTGATCTGATTTTTGAGTATTCGTAATAATAATATTATATAGTTAAAAAGAAAAAAGTTAAAAAATATTTTAAAAATTACTCGAGGACTTCAGAACACTTAAACAACGATTATGTACATAATCGATACCTTTATATATCTTATATAATATATTATATATATAATTATATTGTATAAGGTATGTAAAAAGTTTATTATTATTACAATTTTTTGTAGTCTATTGCGCGAAATTAAAATAATTGAATATAGCTCGGCGTTATTTTATTTTCAACCAAAAAAATAATATACCAAATAATATTACAGTGATATATATTATATTATATAAATACATGTTATACATTAAGGATAATCGTCAGACGGTCCCAATAATAGACGTAGAGATGAGGCGTCTGTGTAGGATTTATATTTTAAATAAATGTAAAAACAAAAAAAAAATATATAATAATAATAAATTACTATACAAACGTTGGACTTTATAACAATTTATTACGATACGATAGATAATATGGAAAATCAAAAGAAAATATGGCATTTGTGTTATGTATAAAAAAACATAAAAGCGAGTTATAGCTGATGGTACCCGTCATAATATAAAAAATAATAAATACTTGTATTTAATTAGTATGTATGTATGATAATAATTATTAAAATGTTATAGCTTCTAAATGTTTATGTTTTTTTTTTTTTTTTTAAGGATGTAATTGAATTTTTTTAAGTATAAATATCAATTTTGTTTGCTAACAATATTATATTATTGTAATGTTAGTATTAGGTAAAAACCTAATATAATTTTATCGACTACCGTTAAAACATTCTATTGTTTGTATAATAAAAATGCAAAACTATTATTTTAAAATTTCCATTTTTTTTTTTTTTACTTTATAATTGATTTCACTCATATCCCACTCGACTATTTTGGTCGGTTCATCTATTTTCATACTCATATCTTAAAGTATCTACAGGTGCTTGGATATTTACAATTTTAATGTATGACTTAAAGTATAAAAGTTCACGCCAGTACGATCAAGTCACAAGCGTTTTATTTTAACAATGCAGCAATGGTAGTATGGAATCGTCCTACACACGTAGTCGATTCTATTTAATTTCCTATCAAAACAAGACATTTTTAAATTCTAAAAGTGATTCACTATTATATTAGGACTCGTATCTCCGAACATTGACGTAATGTGGAATTATGTGTCCATCGATATACTATAAGAGTATACCAGGGTCCAGGGATGGAAAATAAGTAGCATGCAAAGACTTCCATGTGGATATCTATATATATTTATATACCTTGAAAGCAACAGCGCATTTTAACAAAACATAAAAAAATCTTTCAAGTAATATGAGGTAAAAAGTTTCTTACAATCAATAAAAATTGATTTTTTTAATCATTTTTTCTACATTTCTATATTGTATTATCATTCATTTTTCATTTATATTTTATG